CTAAGCGTTACTTATTTTAGTTTTCCCAGAATAATTCAGTTAAAATGAAATAAAAGAGCATATCACTATCGTCGTAGTTATTCGGACTAGTACAGAATTGTTGAGGATTTTTCAGTACATTAACAATTCGGGTTTTATATTGTATAGAAAATGCATTCGATTTTCTGAAGTATCAATTTTGTAGAGAGGAAAATATCTTTAAGAATTTTCTATAAAAATCTCTCAAGCTATTGCCTGATTTTCCATAAAATCGCCCAGTTTCTGAAAAATTAACAGGTTCCTCGATTTTCTCAGCAAATGAGAGGATCCTATACAAGTAATCAGAGTAGCTACAAAGAAAAACTTCAGTCATATCGAAACGTTCGACACTAGAGACTACAGTATCGAGACTTCTCGATACTTCTTGTCTCGGTGCATGCCTAGTGGGAAGACAAAGTTAAAAATGACATAGAATTTCTCAAAATTACCAACTGGAGAAGACAGATTCATGACAGAGATCAATGGCGTGATCTTATTAATGGAAATACCCAGAGCAGACCAATTCACCCTAACATCAAACACATTATTTTGAGTATAAACACCGTGCAGTACAACGCAGAGAAAATGAGTTAGCGGTAGCACAGGGAATAGCGAAGAAAAGGGTAACAGAATTGTTAGTTAAGAACAGCAGTGGCTAATATCAATATTTTGGTTGTGGAAAAATCTTTATGCCTTAAGGAATTACAATGCACGCCAAAAGCCGGTGCTAAGGATTGGTGCAAAAAGAACAATATTAACTGAACAAAATAATATGATTGTAAACCAATTGCATTTTGACTTTGTGAGAATGATGGGTATCACTAAAACTGATTACAGAGGGTGGTATCTTGATAAGTAAGTTAGTTCAATTTTCAATAGAAACGAACACTACTTTCATCAAATTGAACACTCTTTCCTTTTTTGTGTTATTTTTTTCTGATGTTTTTATTCTCACCCTACACCAGAAATGGTAGCGGGTCTAACTAAACTAAACTAAACTTCTGCTACACACTAGCGTTATCTATTATAGGACTTGTATTGGTCAATAACCAGAGTAGAAAAATCGACTGTTGCTATCCGCCATCTTTCGAACAAACGGACAGGCAATTTGTTTTGTACAAGCTCATACTTACAGCCAAGAAAGTAGAGCTTTTGATGAAATGCCACATCTAACTATCCGAGTGTCCTGCATTTCAAATTCATTAAAATGCTACACTAAAAGTGCATTACTATCTCTTAGCTTACGTTGGCGTAGTACGTACGAGTTTAGAATGCGAAGATGTAGTCCACGAAATAAACGAAGAAATATAAAAGTTTTACTCCTGAAAAGAATGCTGCAATGTGCTTGAGTACAATCTTATTAGAGGTGTATTTTTCCTACCTCCAATGTATAGTTCTCCTGTACTACCAATGGGTAATGGTTGCAGATACTCATCCACCACGTAACACTGGCAGTAATCTGGAATTGGGTAGCCAATTGGTACATCGTTTTGCGTATCTATGTCTGATTTATCGACAAAATGGTATGTTGATGACACAGTACATTCAGCTACACCATACAGATGATATATTTTGCAATTTGGATAAACAGCTAATGCTAATCTTGATACAGTTTTTGCAATTAAAAATTCTCCTACCGTAAAATGAAAAGTTGTTCTACTGAATCAGTTTAACTTTCACTACTTCCACGGATGGCAGTCTTTAAACTCTCTACGAGATGAAAAATACTACTGCCTTTTTTTTAGACTGGGAAGCTGTTTTGAACTCGTTAAGAGTTTAAATGAGTGTTATATTCTCACATAGTATAGGGGAGGCTGTGTTCAACTCGTTACGAATCTAAATGAACGTTATTGTTAGGTCCGGTATGTGCTGTTGTGTATAAGGAGTTTATTTAGTTACTGAAGATGACCTCTTTTGCACAAAAATAGCGTATATTTATAGTTAAGTTTACACGAAAAGCGGAATATTCTAGAGTTGATAAAATACACTGGGAAACTGGGGATACATGTAAAAGATCACAGAAAATAAAGAAACCAAGAACTAACACTGGGGAAAATCCTGATAGAAAGAAAGAAAACGAAAAAAGATACACATAGTAGATAATAAGAAATAACACTGGGGAAATTCCTGACAGCAAGAAAGAGAACGAATATATATATATGTATGATACCTATCGTACAATTCTCTCTTATGGCACTTCTTTAATATGTGCCATAACAGTTATTGATTACGAATTCAAATGAATGTTATACTCTCACGTAGTGTAAAAGAGGCCAGTCTGCTCTAAACGACGTGAGAATATAACACTCATTTGAACTCTTCCTAGTCTCCATAAAGCAGATAAGGGTATAACACTCATTTAAACTCGTTACGAGTCTAAAAGATGCACCTTCCTCTGAATGCACTCAGGCCTGTTCTCATCTCGTTACGAGTCGGAATTTAGAATTTAACATGAAGTCCTTACCTCCTAAAATAATTGTTCACAGTGATTGAATAGAATTATACTTCTTAGTTTCTTGCAGAAAATCACATAGAATAATGATGAATGTTGGTGTAAGACTTATGTATGTTGCTTTTTGATACCTAATAATATTTAGTAAATAATCAATGTCCATATTTTTATTAGATTGTAACATGATCACAGTTGCACCCAGAATTAATGATCCTACAACTTCTTCTAAATGAACATCAAAAGAACATTGTGCCAGTTGTATGACAGTATCATTTTCAGTTATTAATTTTAATTGTTTTAATGATCGCATATAAGAAATAAAATTTCTATGACGAATTTGAACAGCCTTTGGTTTACCAGTTGAACCCGATGTAAATATAACATATGCAATATCATCTGTTGTTACTTGTTTGCTTGAAAAGATATTTAACTCTTTGCTAGAATGACATGATTCACTAGAATAAATAACCTGTTCTATATTAACAAATTTAACATCGTCATTATCAGTAATACAGTCTAATAGTTTATTTTCCGTTCTTGAATGTAAGAGTACACAATGTGTTCGGGTTTCTTTAATTAATATATTCAAACGACTAACTGGATCGTTTATGTTCAATGGACAATATGAACAACCACATGTTAATATGGCTAGAATTCCGATAACAAATTCAATACTTCTTTGTACACAAACACAAATAATGTCACCATTTTGAACGCTGCATACATTAATCAAATACCAGGATAATTTTTGTACATAATATAAAACTTCTTCATATGTCAATGATTGATCATCTAATATAATAGCTAGTTTTTGTGAATATCTTATTGATTGTTGGAAAAATTCGTGATGAATACATTTTATTTTAGTATCATTAAAATCAATATGGGTAGTATTATTTATATCTTGTAATAGTTTAATTTCTTGTGGTAATAAAATAGATAATTCATAAATCAGTTGATTTTCAAGATCAAATGATGAGTTATTAAATAATTGTTGTAATAAAATTTGAAATCTTTCACAAATTGTTTGGGCTGTTGCCGTTTTAAATAGATCATACGTATATTCTAATGAACAGATTAACGATTTATCAATAGTATCATATTTCATCAGTAACGATAAATCAAATTTAGCTACCGTATTATTATTATCATCTACTAGTTGACATAGAATATTTTCATCTAAACCGATGTCATTACTCAATTGACTTGATGATTCAAATTGAAATATGGTTTGAATAAATGGGAGTAATGATTGTAATGTTTTGTTCGATGTAATTGAATAATTTGTTGATATGGAAAATAGGAATATTCTAATATGTCTAGACATAATTGTTGTACTTGCATTAGTAAATTTTTAAATGATAATGTTGGATCTAGTGTTAAACGATATGGCAATGTATTAACAAACATTCCAATTATATTATGTAATTCTTGACGATAACGATTTTCATTCATACTTCCAATACATAAATCTTTCTCACCACCTGTTAATTTATATAAAAATATATAATAACATAATAAGCATAGCTGAAACATTGTCACTTGTGATTGTTGGGCATATTCTAACATTTTGTCAATTAGACTTTTTTCTAGCTGAAATATTATGGAAGAACCTTTACCACTTCGTTGTTGTGTCGACGATAATTGATAATCATAGGGTAATGATAATTGTTTGTCTACTTCGTATCCTTTTAATACTTCTTTCCAATATTCTTGAGCTTCACTCATATTCATATTTTGTTCATGTAAAGAATAATCAATGTAATTCAAATTATATTCATTAAAATTAAGTTGATTACTTTTATAAGCTTCTTTCAAGTCTGTAAAAAATAACTGAAAAGAACTACCGTCGAATGCAATATGATGAAAATTAAACAAAATTACATCATCATTTATTAATACATCTTGATTAGCGTTCGATTTATTAAAATGAATTAAATGACATCGAAATACGATGCCCTTATGTAAACAAAAATATTGTTGATTTGTTTCTTCTTCAAATAATATTGTCCGCAATTCTTGTTTGGTTGAAATGGTACTTATATTAAATGAATAATACTGCTGTTCATCATCCGATATTGGTTTTATAAACTGTTTTAAACATTCTCCATCCAAATTATAATAAGTTCTGAATATCAAATTTTTTTTGATTATTGCATGAAGTGCTTGACGTAATCTATTTATAAATATTGTACCATTCATTACTTTTACTACTAATGGAATATTATAAATTGCACAAGAATTTTTTTGTTCTTGTTGTTGATTAAATCGTATTTGTTCATCTAACCAAATTCTCTCTTGTGCAAAACTCGCTTTGCCTAAAGTTTAATAGAAAACTTCAGTCTTTGATTATTACTCATTACAAAATTACTGCCTATAACTAAAAATTACCATTCTGTTGCTGATTAATTAAAGAAAATACACTTTTACAGCTAAATAGCTGTGCTTTTAACGTAATTAGAGTCCATCGTTGAATGATCGACAGAAATAGAAATGCAACATTTTGAAAAATATGGCAATTTTTATTCAATAGTACGTAATTCTATCTATATTTCCATCCTAGTCATTTCATTTTCTGAGCTTATCAGGAAATGTCCATCGGCTTGTCTGGCTAACGGTATCCCGTGCATCATCAAACTTTTATTTGCAGCCATCTGTAAATTTGTACCGATGACACACTCACTCTAGTTTGTTTCACACATCAAAAATTCAAGTATAAATGAGCTAGATTTATCCTTTAGATAACTTTTATTTGCAGTGTGCAACTTATCGAATGCATTGAAAGGATGTCATCGCGTTACCATAACTGTAGATCTGTAGATAAACAACCCAGATCCTCGATTAAAATTTCCATCTGATGCTTCAAAAGTCCTACGTTATAGCTAAAAACCTATCTAATGGACATTCTCATCAATATCGCATTTAGAGAAAATCAGAGCCATTTAGCCATTACGTAACTAGTGAAAATATTTTTTGCAAAATAAAGATGAAAAAAATAATTTGCAGAGATGGTTTTAAGGTAAAAAACCGTTTTTGTCGGTACACAATGTTGAATCAAACATTCATAATTCGCTCAAGAGCACACTGTATTGCTTGAAACTTTCAGAGTATGCTATATCTCTCAGCCTTAGTATGACAGAAGTGCTGAAAACAGAAGAACAAGTTATAAGTATGAGAGATTTTAGGTGGATGTCTGAAAAATTATGTTAGAAGCTAACTTTAGTCTAGAAATCTTTCAGCATTCTGATCCATTTTCCTGCCCATAAGTGTAAACATTGACGCTGAAAATGTGTCATCGCGTTATCTGCGGACAGGCCGCCATATAGAACAACTAACATTCATCTGCGATTCACTAGACTCTTGAATTGAATGATTGAAAGAATTGTCACTCTAAAGAAGACCAGGTGACCATATAATCAAACAAAAATACGACAAAAACACTTGATGTTAACTATACATTCTGTCAAATGCAAAACAACACAAATATCTCTCTGTACGAGCACAAGACAACCTATCAAAGTAAATCAGTCTGTGGACATGGATAGTTATGGCGTAGTATTGTTTGTAAGGGGCACTTCCATGGTACTTGTCCAGGTTTTTACATGGCTATTTCATATCGATCTAATATATAGCAGGTTTTGTAGAGTTTCGAATGCTGATTCTTTCTGATCGATAAAAGGTTTGACTTGGCTGCTTCCCTGAAGAGTTCAGAGGATCACAAGTTGGACTGGCGCCGAATTGACCCTAAAAGTATGGTTCACCTTATTTTCCGTGTTTGACTTTTCAACTTGAACCGAACTATTATTTTGCACGCAGTATTCGAT